AAGCCATATGTACATTTTGGAGCACAAATTAATGTACGACTTGGTCTTATTTTCAGGGAAATATGAACATATAATGGAATACTATATAGCCTTTAAAAAGAAGGACATTCTGCCACCTGTGAAACATGGACAAACTTGGGGGGCATCATATCAAGTAAAATGAGGTAGACACAGAGGGACAAATACTGCATGATCTCACTTTGCATGTGAAATCCAAAATAGTCAGACACAGAAAAAGGGAGTAGAATGATACGGGCTGAAGGAAGGGAATAATGGGAAGGTTATGATTAAAAGACACAAACTTTCAGTTATACAAGATAAAAGTTCTGGAGATCTTTCATACAAGTATAGTGACTATAGCTAACAATATTATTTATTTTAAATTGCTATAGGATACGTTTATGCTTAATGATAATAACAATAGTAATAATGATTATTATTAAGAGGAAAGTTTGGGAAACAATGAATATATGTATGGCTTTGATGGTTTCACAGGTGAATACTTATCCCAAAAATAATTTAGATGAATACATTAAATGTTTACAGCCTTTTATATGTCAATTATAGCACAAGAACATACTTATTTAAAAATGCATTTGGAAACAGGCATGGTGGCACATGACTGTAAACCCAGCACTCTGGAAGGCTGAGTCAGGAGGATCAAAAATTTGAACCCAGTCTAGAAAACTTACCAAGACCCTGTCTCAAAATAAAAAAATAAAAAAGGTCTAGAAATGTAGCTCAGTTGAAGGTCCTGGGTTCAGTCCTCAATACTGGATAAAAATAGAAAGAATACATGAATAAATAAATGAAATAAAGTAAAATAAAATATGCAGTTGGAGTGAGAAAAGGAAGTTCAGCTCACCAACACTGGGCAGAAGAACCTGAGGCATGCAGGACTGAGCCAGTCCATTTCTGTCCAGAGCTTTGTGAACTTGAATGTACTGTGCTGATGTAGCAAGTGATTCTTCATATTCGTCAACCTGTGTCTTCTGGATCCTTTCCCTTATTTCATTTTCATTGATTCCTTAGATCCTTTCTGTGTTGCTTGCTGGATTTTGTACCATTATTTAGGCTTTGTAGCATTTTTGTAGCACTGTTTCTTTGACTGAAATTGGGATTTGTAAGCCATGACAAGTGACAGGAAGTATAGCTGGGCTTCCTAACAGATGCCCATTGGGCACAAGAAAGTTAGGAGAAATTAAGGCAGCCCAACCTGTCCCTGCATCCAAGGCCACAGTGTCCTCTTTTCTGCATCTGCCTGTTCATTTTCTCTCTGCAGAATGGCTCTCTCCACTTCTCTGGGCACTTGTGGCAGGTGGCCTCTCTGTAGCTCATGGATTTAGGAGTCCTCCATCCTCTGAGAGTAGGTACAAGCTGCTGGCTTCACTGAGTTCTAGTTCCTTATCCCTGACTATGGGTTTATTTAGAGCAGCTGCCCACCACATGCCCCAGTGGGCATGACTGGGGACACAGTTCGGAGAATTCATGCCTGACTGGCTCTGTGAGTGCAGGTGTCAGTAGTGGGGTGGTGGGGATAGTTCCTAGAAGAGTAGATTGTGGGTGAAGCAGAGTGTTCACATCTTGACCTCAATTGATGTGAATTGTGTGTTTCCATTGTGATCACTTATGAATGTTATCCCCAGGAGTCTTATTCATCCATGTGTATGAGTGTGTGTGTGTGTGTGTGTGTGTGTGTGAGTGTGTGACAGAGTTTTCATCATATTGGTCCACTTACTTATGAACCAGGTTCCATGTCAGAAGCCAGAGAAACAATGATGAACAAATCAACATGGTCCTCACCATGACCTTCCCAGGGAGACAGATATTACCGAGAAGATCACACACCTTACACAGAGGATGACTGACTGGTCAGCTGAGTGAGCAGGTAAGGGTGTGCCCTGAAGAGGACAAGCCTATGGCCAGGCCCTGAGGCAGGAGGAAGAGGTGAATTTGAGGAACCAAAAGAAGGTCTGTGTGGTTGGACTTCAGAGAACAAGGTGGGGGAGGGCTCACAAGCTGAGTCTGGAGCTGGGCTGTGCACACTCTCATGGACTCTGAAAGTTCTTTAGGGTTTATCTGTGACCATGGGAAACTGCTGAAGGCTTTAGTCATCAGAATTGTGAAACTCATACCATCTTCTTTCAGCCTCAGATTCGTGGCTCCAGCTCCATATGCCTAAACTGCCAGTAAGCAGAATGTCCTTGGCTCCTCTCTGTCTTGGATGCAATGGAGGGATTCACCCAAGCTCTTAGTCTTTCTGTAGTACCAAGGGGCCCATCCATTCAGTCTGGCTCATGATCTAGACTTCTGATTCCACAGTAGACTTCTTTTGGGTTTTCTTCTGAAAATAGACTTTGCCTGGGACTATCTCAAGCCAAGAGAGGGGTTCTAATAACATTAAACCTCAGTATCATCTTGCTACTCTTTCCTGATGCCTCGCTTCTTGCTACTTCCTGCTTCCACCTACTCTTCTGTCCATCCTTCTTCTCCTTCTTCATGTAGCATGCTAGTTGAAGGCAGGTTAGTGCTGGAGTTAAGGGTAGTCACTTTCACTGTGGGTGGGGCTCCTCAGGGTTCTTTAGAAGCCTCCCCTACCCGAAGGCCAAAAGACACCAGTCACCTAGAATTCTTAAATTCCAGTTCTTCCCACTTCTGCCAGTCCCTGAGACACAGGGCTCCATGCTTCTCAGATGCTCTGAGTATCCTAGGTTGTGCCACTGATCCCTTCAGAGTTTTACAGACTTGGAGGAGTGGTGGCAGCCCTGGAAATGACAATTCTGGGATGGGGCAGGGACTGAGGGCTACATAAATGGTCTTTCCCTCCTGGACATGCCCAGTGTCGGGGCCACTAGGAACCCCCAGCTGTGCATTGGTCACCTTGCATTTTCTGTCCCTAACTGCAGCCTAGTTTACTCTGTCATAATTGATCCAAGACTAGACCAGACTCCAGCTTCCCAGGAAGGAAGTAAACCCATAGTTTGTGATAATTATGACTAATCCAGTCATCCCTTGGTATCCTCAGAAGATGTGTTCCAGAACTCTCTGTGGATATCAAAGTCCATGGACTCTCAAGTTCCTTATATAAAATATTTTCAGGTAACCTATGCACATCTTCCTGTATACCTCAAACCATCCCTAGATTACTTATAATACCTAATGTAACATGAGCACTGTGCAAATAGTTGTTATTTGATATTATTTAGGGACTAATAATTTAAAGATTCTGTACATGTTCAGCACAGAGGCAACTTTTGAGAACTATTTTGGCTTTTGGCTCTATAGTTGATTGAATGCACAGATGCAGAACCTGTGGATAGAGATCTGCTGTGTACAAAGCTCTTTACACTTGTTCAGTCAGTTTTCCCAAGCATTCTGCAAGGTGGAAACAGTCCGACCTTCACTTTACAGCGGTTGTCAAGGTCTTCAAGGTTCCTAAGCCTGAGATGTGATCCTCTTTGGAGTAAAGCTTGGCTCACCGCATGACCTTCTATTATCATAACAGATACACCCATGGCAATGACAAGACAAGCCACCAGCGGCTTCCCAGGGTGCCCTCAAGCCCACGTTTTAGGTTTGCAAAGTTGGCATTTCCAAAGTTTCCAGGTTTACAAATTCAGTTCCTGATTCTTTTTAGCAAATGGGCATTTTTCTACAAAGCTACTTTAAAACTTCCAACCAAGATGTGGAGACTTTGGTACAGATATTCCTCACTGAATTCCATCCCTGCAACTAGGTCCTTAAATGAACTGGTGTCGAAGTGAGCAAGGCCCTGCTTAAATGCACAACATGCAAAACATTTTATAGTTTGCACACCATTCATCCTGCCATCTGGCCCCCAGTCCAAGGTAGGGCAGGGTGTATTAGGCCCATTTTGCCGCTATCAATTCGAAACCTGGAGGACAGAATGATGTGCTTAATGTCACTCAGCTGGGTAGCTACAGACCTGGGGATCAGTCTCAGGGAATCCTTGTTACAGCTCCCAATGTGTCAACATGATGGTTGGAAGCACACAGTAGTTGTCTGCTCCCTGAGGGCAGAGTGCAGAGGTATGAAACTAGAGTAGTTTCTCTGAATGCCAGAGAGGAGGAGAAGGGTTACAAATATCTGGAGCTTTCAGAGAAAGTGGAGAGAGAGTATCTGATCTCCTGGAGGTCACAAGAGTGCCCAGGTATGGAGCCCAAGTATAAATGGAAGAGGGGATGGATAGCTCGCTGTTCCCAAGATTATGTTGCCACCACACAGGCCCCATGTGGGTGCTCAAACAAACCTGAGACTCCCCAGCCCAGGGCCTTTTCCCAGCTGTTCCTTCTACTTGGAATTCTCTTCCCTTCTTTGTGTCATCACTCAGATCTCAGTTCAAATGCCACCTTCTCAGAGAGGCCTTTCCTGGCTACTTTTTCTAAAATACCCACCTACCCCTGGTCATTCTCAAAAGTACATCAAGCTTTTGATTTCCTTGTAGCACTTACCACCACAAGGAGTTAGTTGATTTAGCTTGTTTCTCTTCTGCTTTCTTCCATTAGAATACTGGGGACCTTGTCTGGCTTCCTCCCAGTGCCTGTGGAGGGCCCTGTACATAGGATTCAGCAGATACATAGTTTTTTTTTTTGTACCAGGGCTCAAACTTGGGTCCTTGTGCTTGCGGGGCAGGTGGCAGAACCACTGAGCTAAATCCCCAGCCCTAGCAGATACATAGTTTTTGATGAACATGTTTATGCATACATGAACAGGTGGCAGTCAGTTTTGGGTGGATACAAAGTTCCAGCCCTATAAACCCAGCTCAGTTCTCTAAATGATCTCTTCTTTTATAAAGACAAAAAAGAACCAGTTTGGCTTCTTAAGCCTGAGTCACTCTTCTAGAAGCTAAGCCTGACCCTAGGCAGGCATGAACCTGCTCATCTCCTTGGGGCTGTCTACCTCTACGTGGGTGTGTGGGAGGGGCCAGGTTGCCTCTTTACTCTGCGCAGGTAGTCAGGGAGGAGGAGCAGCCCCATCCTGGGAGGGTTGGTCACAGCCACTGCCTGGGCACTCTTTTATGTGGAGCAGCTCAGCCTGGAGCTCGAAGCCGGAAGACTTTGGAAGACCTAGTGTCCTATCTGAGCTTCCTGATGGCATCAGGTAAGCTCTTTCCAGTCCTCTTTCTGATCCATCTGAAAAATGGGGGAGGAAAATGTCTACCACTGGTGTTTACCCAATGCTTTCAGACTCTGACCAGCAAGCTGATAGGGAGATGTTGAAGGCATGGAGATCTAGGCCCTGGAAAGCTATGCAGATGCTGGGCAAAGCAGGATACCTAGTGTGAGAAAAGTCATGGAGCCCTTGGAATGTGTTGGCCATTCTCCACTGCTGGGGAAAACAGAAAACTCTCTGTAAAATGAGGGAAAGAAAAGCTTGAGCTTAATGAGAAATATTGATAGAATACAGCATTCATTCACAAGGTTTGAGGAGTAATAGGGTAGGGACTGCAGAAAATCGAATGATTGGAACTAGGCGGTTCCAGCATGTGGCTGTCACATGGGAATGAAGTTCCAGGTGGCCAGAATCTCTCATTTTTCAGGAAAAGGCAACTTGGGCATTGTGGCACATGCCTCAATCCCAGAACTCTGGCAGACTAATGAAGGAGGGTCATAAATTCAAGCCCAATCTGGGCAACTCAGTGAGATGTTGCCTCAAAGCAAAAATTTAAGAGTTATCTGGAAATATAGCTCAGTACAAAGGCCCTGGGTTCAATCCTCAGTACTGAAAAAAACCAAATATTCTGATTTAATTGTGTGAGCTATTCTGATTAGATAAAATAATAAAGCAAGCAAATAAAATAATCTTTGAGCTACTGCTTTGTGACCTCTGATTAGGATATGTGTGGAACAAAGAAAAAGTCTTAGGATTGTTGATCTGAAGACCTGGTCTCTAATTTGTATTTGACCTCTACTGAGCAGACCATTTCTCCTTTCTGGATCTTACTTTCCTCTGTGAAGAGGAAGCTGGCCAACTCCGGGGGTTTCATGGACATATTAATTTCTAACTTTTCCATGGTGCTTACCACAGCTAGGCACTCTGCTGAGCTGTCTACATAGCTTATCGAAATTAATCCTCACAACACCCATATGAGGAAGGACTCACATTTTCAGACAAGGAAATAGAGAAAGATGAAGTAATTTGCCAGACAAATGGCCAGAATAAGGGGAGAAGCCAGAGTCAACTGCAGACAAATGTGTCTCCACCTACTACACTCTGCTACAGGGGCACAGGATGAGATCATGGAGAATTTCTTTGTAAACCACAGGAAGCAATTCCAAGGGCAGAAATCCTTCCCCTTTCCCCAGTGAGTGTTGAGATCTCTAGTGGGTGGTATTAAAATGTTAGCCTGAAGTCTTATATATATATTTTTTCTATTGTAAAGTAGGAAGCTGAAATCACTGCCATAACCAGGAAGTGATCTATTGTGAAGAAATCACCTTATTTTAAAATGGTTCATCCAAAAATATTTTGAACTGGTCCATGTGGGCACTAAATAACTGTGTGAGAGCATGAGTTAAATGAATTCAGGAACCCAGTGGAAGCAAGCCTGGTGTAGGCACCATGCTCCTTGAAAGAAGGAAACACGTTCTCTATCTAAGGCCAGGAGTATGGTAGGTGCCAACTGCTGCCAAGCAGACAGAAGGGTTCTGAGAAGAGAGAAGTTTGAGAGTTGTGTGGCTTGAATTTGGACCTGGGACATCAAGGGCAGAGAAGCAAGGATGAGGATGTAATCACTCTGCATTACCAGATGCACCATTTTCCTCTCCAGACATCTGCATCCTCTCTACACAGTTGGTCCCATCATTTACCTTGCGGCTGGTACATGTGAAGAGGAAGGAGGAAGAAGAGAAGGTGGAGGCATTGATAATGAAAAGTTCAAAGCCCTTTTAGGAATCTAGGTTGAAAATAGCTTTAAGTCACTAGATGTTGACAATAGTTTGACTATGCAGCCAGAAAAGATTAAAAATAATGACTTAATTAAGCAGTAACTTGACCAGAATGAAAGTCATTTACTCATGTGATTGATCAATATTATGTCTGCTATGGTCTCTTCCTGAGAGAAAAGGTTTTTGAATGTCTGCCTATCTGTCTGTCTGTCTGTCTAAATGGATTATCTCTGCTAATAAAAAACAGGCTAAATTGGCAAGGTGCAATGATTAAGTTAATTGTGTTTGCAATTTATGGCACCAGCTACCAGAAGTGCCAGTGTCTTTAAGGGCTCATAATTTAAAATGATAAATAATCCTAGCTTTTAAGGGACTGAAAATTTACTAAGATTTAGAACTCCCAGTAATGAAACCAAAAACATACTGAGCAAACCTAGGCAACTGGTCACCTTAGTACAAAACTAGATGAAGAGCTGTCTGTCCCTGTAACCTAAAAGTATATAAAGTTTTGGAATTATTCTTTCCTTACCACAAAAAAAAATCTTCCTAAATTTTGTGAGCTAAATAATTTCTCTGTGAGGTATGAGTTCAAACCAAAAGGAACACCATTAAAACAAATATACTTCTTGCTTGAATTTGCCATGGGATGAAGCAGAGAGGAAAAATTTTGGCTGCCTGTTTGACAGGATTGTATTGTGAGAAGAAATAATGAAACTGGAATTCAAATCCTGGCTATGCTCCAGGGTCTGGGGAAAGTGATCCAGTATTTCTGAGCCTTGAGTTATTTTTCCGCAAAGTGACTGTGAGAACATTCCCATCTGAAAAGTGGCTTGTTATGTCCCCCTTGCACAGATAGTATGAGAACTAGAAATCTGTACGGAATAGTGCAACACAGTTGGAGATGTAGCTCAAAGTAGAGTGCAAGCTTAGCATGTACAGGGCTCTGGTTCAATCTCCAGCACCACCACCAACAAAAAAGAAGCAACATCCCTTTCCCCTCTCCCTTTTCTCTTTCAGGCAATCTGGCTTATAAAGATAATCACAAAGCCAAGAAGGCAAGAGCAAATGTACCTCTGAAAACACAAGAAAATTAGACAAATAATGACAAATAAATCCATATCAAACCCATAAACTATGAAAACAAAAACCATCTTGGAGAGCTCTAAACCTCAGAAAGGACTCACATGATTTACTATTTGGGTCTGGGAGGTGAGTGAGCTTCTTACCAAGAACAGTTGTTAACAGTTGGTTTGTACATGAATCCCTGAATTCCCTTCACCAGCCAGGAGAGCAGTGTGGTCAACGTGATGTCATTAAGCCAGAAGGCTGCAATGTGGAGGGTAGAGATACCCAGGAAAATAGCTGTCTCCAAGCCTGGCCTGTGGCCATGGGGTGATTTCAATAAACTGTTGGATGTAGTCAAAATTAGCCCAGCTATCTGCCAGGACTGGCTAGGTGGAGATTGACAAAAAGAAGGTATCATATTATTTTGTTTGGGGGGAATATTTATTTTTTTCCTCCTCTTTGTACAAATATATTTACTTATAACTTGGAAAGAACAACCAGCATCACTGTACCATTATCTTTCCAAAGTTTAGACAATACTGCTTATGCTGCAATGGTGTGTACTATAACACGGGGACATTTTAGTGTTTGCTGAAGACTATGAGGTGAAGCCAATACAGCTCAAGGCACACACCTGTCCATCCAAAGGCTTACATGTTACAGATAGTGCTTGGGGAACACAAAAACAGCTCCAAGAGGCACAAGGGAAAATGTTTACACCCAGATTCATTAAAGTTTCCTGCTAAACTAAATTTATCAGTAAAGATTATTTTCTGCAAGGAGAATGAGACCTGTTGGAAGAACCACTAGAGCTCAAAGGAATGATGTTGGACTGTGAAGGGATAATTTTGTTCTAGGAAGAATGAAGAGCAGCCACATCTCCCTGTCTCTGATGGATGCTAGAGCTAGCAAGATCTGATTGTACACATCTCTTACCAAATTCCCTATTCATTGACATCATGTTGTTGGCTTGAAATCATCCATGGTAGGATTATCTACATCTCCAAAATTAGTAAATGCTACAGATCCAAATATTTTTGGAGATCCAGTTGTTAACCATTTACCAGCATGCCGCTGTTCTGCGTGTGGGATCAATCACCCCAATTCAAGCCTAATCTATCTGTCCACTGTCCTCAGGATTATCTTAATACAACAAATCTGACATCATCCACTGACTCCATTTTCTTTAATATACATTTCCAGCTTCTTAGGGTGTCACTCTGTCTTCCATCCAACTTTTCAATCACTTCTTCTGTCTCTATTCTCAAATGGCCCTCAAATTCTAGTCATCCTCAATAATAAGATCTTTTAAAATAGATTACCATCAGGCTCTACCTCTGGCATAGGGTTTTTTTTTAAGGACCAAGTCTCCTGTGAAAAACTGGGAAAGCCAGACAAAATGAATATCTAAAAGATCTGCTTGGAAATATCAGGGAATGGTCAAGGCTATGAGGAACTGTAGGAGCCTGGGGAAGTGGAGCTCAGCTTTGGACCCTTTTACTCCTGGGTATTTTTTCAGGTTTCAAAAGGTTGCAGCCGGGATGCGTGTTAAGTTCAGTGGTAGAGTGTATATTGCACATGTGTGAGACTGTGGGATCAGTCTCCAGCACCATCCCCTAAAGAAGTCTGTAGCTGAGATTTTGAGCACTCTTGGGTCTTGGTTAGTGGGGAGAGGATAAAATTTGTACTTTATGTTCAACTTAGAAGGAGGAGTGTTGATAAATTCCACCCAGTTTGGGTTGACACCCTGGGGGGCTAGGAGTGGATCCAAAATGGAGCAGCCCTCTGAGATACTGAAGCCTACTTCTGAATCATCTCAAGACATGTTTGGGTAAAGCTCACCTGGGTCTCCAGTGCTTCTGGCCCATCTGCCCAGAAGGAACAAAATAACTTGTCTCTGGGTAAAGATAACATCACTCAAAACCTTGAATGATCACTGCAATTTTTGATAAACAGTGTTTAGGAAACCATAAAATTAATAGGCATGTTACATCAGTCAGCTTTGTATTACTATAATGAAATAATTAGCTTATAGAGAGGAAGGGCTTATTTTGCTCATGGTTTTGAAAGTTCTAGTCCAAGACTAGGTGACCCCATTGCATTGGGCCTCTGGTGGAGGTACCAGATGACAACTGTAGAGGGTGTATGGCAATACCCACTCACTCAGAAGCTGGAAATCAAAGAGAAAGAAACAGGAAGAGAAAGTGGTTGGGCTCCTACAATCCCCTTTGAAGGCACACCTCCACTGGCTTAAGGATCTTCACTAGGCTCCACCTCTAAAGGTTTCACCACCTTCCACTGTGCCACCCTGGGAACAAAGCCACTAACACATGTGTCTTTGGGGAACACTTATCCAAGCCACAGCTTATATGCAAGATAACCTGTGCATTAAAGAAAAAGAGACAATAGATGGAAATCCAGTGGGGATTCAAATAATGGAGTTATCAAGGGCAGTTTTTAAAAGACCTGTGCATAATATGCTCAAAGCTGTAGAAGACAAGATTAACAGTTTTGGCAGAGAACAATAAAATAGGAACAAAATAGAAATCCTAGAACTGAAAGATATAATTAGCTGAAATTGAGAAATCGTTAAAATTTATTGAACACTTCTTTTGGGGCCAGCGCCATGGTTAACATTTTATAGGCATCAACATAGGACATCGGTGAAGTTGGTTTGCAGTTCCTGCTGTGAAGAAGGCTCAAGGCCCTTCTGTCCATGTGTGGTAGCACTTTCCTTTATATCTTGCTGTCTCCCTACAGTTGTGTAATAACCACTCCTAAGAGGTGGACAGCTTGGTTCTGTTTCTCTGCCTTGACAGAGTCCCTTTCAGGAGGTCTTAGTAATGTCTGTTGTCAACAGTATCTGGCAGCATAGAGCTCAATATGTAGAAGGCACTAGATAGTTGTGATGACCAGGGGAGGAAGTCCCCAGGTATTTACTGGGAAGGGAGATTTGGTAGTTAAGCTTCATTCAGGAAGCAGACTTGAGGGCTGAGTACCCAGAACTGAGAATAAGTTTAGTCAGAGATATCCTGTGGGCAGAAATCACAGGGACACTAGCTGTTTTGGTGTGATAAGATGGAACTAGGAGTGGAATTGTGGCCAGAAGTATGAGAAGAGGGAAAGACCTTCCCCTTCTTCCTTTTTTCTACTCCTCTTTTGGGTCTGGAACAAGAAAGGAGGTAGGTCAGTATATAGGGAAAGGAGCATGGATTAGTACAAAGAAAAGAAGATGGGCCAGTATACAGAGCTGGGAGCTGGGAGGACAGGGAAGGGTTGTAGAGGTTGGGGCAGTGTGACTCATCTTTCCCACTTGGGGTAAAGAAGCATGTGCCGTTGTTACTGTTTGTGTACTTCCCACAGGCCAGGGTCAAGGCTGACTATATCACGTGCAGCATCTTATTTAATCCTTACGGAAACTCACAATGTGACTTTTGTTATTAGCCCCATCTAATGGGTAATGAAACTGAGACTCAGACAGGCTCCACACATTGTCTGAGGTGGCTTAGCTCATAAATGATGCATGGGGATTCAGCCCAGGTTGGCTCCAGAGACTTCCTCCCCACATTCCCAGAAAGAACATGCTGGAAGCTTGGAGCCAGAGTCTGTGGGAAAAGGACACAGACCTGAGAAAGTCCAGGAGCCCAGGCTACTGTTCTGCAGGAGAAATCACTCTTTCTCTTTTAATTTGAGTTGAGGTCAGAGAAACATTGACCCAGGGGCTGAAATGTGGGGGCAGCCATTGCTTGGGATGCTGTCAGAGGGTGGGGACCAGGATAAAGCCCCAGCTTCTCATACCTGGAAGCCACTTCTTCAATCTTTCAGGGTGCTTTTTGAGAGAATGCTGAGTTTTTAATTCAGGAGGGTGTGAGAGGTAGCATAAGAAAGATGAATAGGAGAGAACTGTCAGTGTTAGATTCTAGTGAACTCGAGTGTGAGGGCACTGTTAAGCACCTGATGACTAGTAATTGTTCCAGAAAGTTTAAATCTTAACAAATTCTGGAACAAATTCTGGCAAATAACTAGGCAGGATTATATACATCCCTTCCTTCAGCCACCACTTGTGAAAACAACTCAAACAAATAAATGAACAATCAGAACACCCCCATGGCCCTCAAGGGTGGCTGTCGTTTCTCTACCATGTTTTAGATAGGCTGAGTGACTCACTTCATGTTGTCCGGCTTGTAAGGACAACACAGGGATGTGTATGTGCCATTTGACCTGTCAAAGGGTGAGATTTACAGAAATATTTGCTCTGAAAGAGGAGCTCTTTAAAGACTTGGGGAATTCATTTGTAGCTTCCTTGGTTGGAGAATTTAACGCTCATTTAACATAGACTCTGATTTGTTGATTGAAAAATAAGTCAAACGCATCAAGATCAGCTGTTGTGGTAGAACAACCTGTGACTATGGGGTCAGAAGACCTGGATTGCTCAGCATACATTTGTCATTAATGAACTCTGTGACAGGGAATGGGAAGATGCTTTTCCTCACTGGGCCTCTTTAAAACAATGATAAGACAATGGAATAAGACACAGTCCAGTTCTGAAATGCTAAAATCCATGCTTCCATGATGGCATTCCCATCAAATAGATTATGTAAAAAACTCTCCTTAGCTTTTACATATCCAGAAAATAGGAGCATGCTTAGCTTTTCCTTAGCATATCTAGAATACTATAAGGAAAGACGTTCATGTTTGTTAGTGCTCACTATGTGCCAATAATTCCCTCCCTCCTTCCCTCCCTTCCTCCCTTCCTTCCTTCCTTCCTTCCTTCCTTCCTTCCTTCCTTCCTTCCTTCCTTCCTTTCTCCTAGCTGTAAAGAGGATATGATCCTCTTCATGCTGAGATTGAGAAGATACAGGCCCAAATAAATGAAATGATTCCTTGAAGTCATAAGGATGGCAAATAGCAAGTGGTAGAGTAAAATTTGGATCCATTTCTGTCCAAGCGCTGAGTTCATTCCATTTTTGTGAGACCATAACTTTAAAGAGGAGATAGTGGGAAGAGACTTGGTTCAATACACCTCTTGGGCAAAGAACTACTTTTTCCCTAGATCAGGGGTCAGCAGATTTGGGGCAAAACCTGGCCTGACCAGTGTTTTGTACATAAAGTTGTACTGGAGAGCAACTGGGCTTTCTGGTCTATAGATTGTCTGTGTCTGCTTGTGCACAACACAGCCCAATTAAGTAATTGTGCTGGGGCCTGGATAGACCATAGCACCTGGAATGTTTACTCTTTGGTCTTGTACACAATGTCTGGCAATCCCCAGTGCAGAGTCCAGAAAGTTGTCCCTCATTCAAAGAACACAAAGTGACATGAAACTGTCTTTTGTTCTGGGAGTCCTGTCACTTGGCTTTGTAATGAAAGGGAGATGTTTCTGCTCAAATCTGCTTTCTAAAAAGTTAACAAACCCTCTCAGGATGCCTTTCAAGCAAATCAGGGAATTTAGTTATCACTGTGCTCTTCTTCCCGGGAACTCAATGAAGGGGAAATAGAATCTTGATTTTGGGGAAATTGCACAGGGGGGAAAGGGGGAGGGGATTAGTTACAACACCCCATTGCGACACTCAGTGGGGCTGAAAGTGACAACAGCAAGGGTTTCTCGTTTTGGAAATGTGAGGGTATTTCCGCTTCAGGACAGGATGGCAGCAGCCCGACTTGGTGAGTGACTACTTTCTTTATAAGCAGCAACTCTGGGCCCGAAATGGCAGTCTCTACTGCCTTGCTACGGCCACAAGATGGAAATCTGCAAGGGTCCCTTCAGCCTCCTATTCTCTCTTCTCTTCCTGTTCCATTCAGAGGCAGCCTGCCGCCCCTTTGGGAGAAGACCCTACAAGATGCAGTCTTTTAGGTAAGGTTCTCTCAAGGACGTGGGGTTTACCAGCTAGAGACAAAGACACATCCCAGCCCTCCAGAGCTGCTGGATCTGCAGGGCTTAAAAACTAGGTTTGGGCTGGAAAGCAGTGTCCATTATTCAAAAACAGCCTGCCATAGGCATAGTATTTAGGGCTTGCTTTTCAAAAGACTCCAGATGTGAAAGCAAGGCCACCACCAGCCAGCTCACTTTCCCAGAGACTCAGACAAGTGCCAAGGGTCGGTGCAGGGATTAAGGCCTGGCAAGGATGGGAATACCAGGCAGGGCACAGCCCAAGGCCCCACTAACTGCTGGCAACCCCTGTTTGTGCTGAATCATTGGAGGCTCTCTCTCTCTGGGGACTCAGTTTCCCCATCTGTGATGTGGGCTTCTTGATAATTTCCTGTGTACCTTACAGGGTTGTTGAGAAGATGATGTGTACAGATAATAGAGTAACTGTTCTGTGAACTATAGAATGCCTGAAAAGAACGGTAATTTTAAAAATTGGGTCAGGGCCCTGGGAGGTGTCATCATCATGGTAGTAAAAACGTCAGGCTGCGATATTGATAAACACAAGTGTGCTGTCTGTGCATGCCCTCTGCCCTGGGGTCCCTCCTGGGAGTGAAATCATCCTGGGTGACTTATTCCTCAACCCCCATCCCCATATGTTTCTGGGCCCAGACTGAAGTTCAGGACTCTGAGTATGTGAGTGTGCACACACATCCCAAGAAAGTCCCTCCTTTCCCTGATTCAGGAACTGTCTGCTTTGGGAGGTTTCCTCTGCCTCCTCCAATCAGCTGGGAGCTCTGGGAGAGGTCCCTGGAGGCCTCCAGCAGGGATGTTAATCCCTTCAGACAGACTCATCTGGAAACTAAGCTTAATCACAAAAGGTCAATTGCTCACATGTGCAATGCACTATGTTTGCCCAGTGACCCCTCCCTGAGCTCCTTGGCTGCTGGAATCCTCCTGATGAGGCAGGTATTATTAGCTACAATTCGCAGGTGAGGAGCTGAAGCTTAGGTTCAATGTCATACTGGCCAGAGCTCTGGTTACTACATCTCATAGCTGCCAGCCTGCCCTCAGCCTGGCTCTCTGCCCAAGAGTCCTTTACAAAGAAGAGAAGACTGGAAGCCACCACCAGGTCACTGGATGGACTAGAGAAGAAGCAAACATGTTCCAAGGGACAATTGTCCTGGCCAGACCCAGAACAGGTCACCAATGGATAGAGGATGTTTTAGCAATAGGCTTTCCTGGTCCATGGCTCAGAGTGAGTTAGATGCAAGTTGTTCTGTCTCTTGAACTTCTATGCTGTGGTAGCCACTAGTCTCAGGTGATTATTTAAATTTACATTTAAAAGAAAGTAGAAAAAATTTAAAAGTTCAAATCCTCAGTGGCACCATCCACAATTTAGAAGCTGGATAGTTTACACTGAGCAAGGCTAATATGGGAAATTTCTGCAGCCCAAGAGGTTCTATGGCATGGATACTCTAAAGCAGTGATGGCGAGCCTATGGCATGAGTGCTGCAGCGGGCTGTTTGTATCATTGAAATCTCTAAAAAGTTCACCATCACTGCTCTAGAGCATACTTTGCTGAAATGGGAGGTACCTGGGCTGGGAGTCTGAGATGAAGGAGCAAGGCGAGGGAACAGGCGGGAAGGAGTTTGGCCTGTCTCTTAACTAGTGTCAGCCTGAGTCTTTGCATTCATGCTGTGGGTATGCTAAATGCCACACCTCTGGCTGAGCAGGACACAGATGAGGTGAGCTCTGGGGGACAGGGAGTGCTGAGTCCCAGGCAGCTGTCCACTACAGCTGGGTCCCTTTGCTTTTCAGAATCTGGGATATTAACCAGAAGACTTTCTACCTGAGGAACAACCAACTTGTTGCTGGATACTTGCAAGTGCCAAATACTAAATTAGAAGGTGAGTGGTTCCCAGGAAAGCCAGTGCTGTGTGTGGATTGGGTCAATTTGCCCCTGGATTCTGCAGCATCTCAATTAACCCTGCAACCTTCTTAATCCCTGCAGAGTTTGAATATGGGGAAACATGGAAGATGTGAGCACAAGAGGGCACATATAAGTGCAGCCTCCAGAGGGTGGGAGAGGTAGTCTGGGTCAAGGGCCACTGTCTATATGTACAGTGACCTAGAACCACAGCTGGGAGGGGCAAGGGCCAGAAGGCAAGGCTAACCCTGCCCTCCTTGGACCACAGCAGTGCACCTGTAACCTAGAGCACAGATATTCTGAGTAAAGTAGGAGAGGACAGAAATTATGTGAAGCAGAATCTGGGAGACACAGTCCTTTAGAAATCACTAAGTAGTGTGTTTGGTTTGATCTGTTTGGTTGCAGACCAGAAAGAGGAGGCCTTGCTGTCTTTCTGGCCTCAGGATTTTAGTTGGCGAGAGGAGAGAAAAAATACTCAAGGTCTCTTCCTCATCTCTGTCTCCTCTTCTCTCTCTCTCTCTCTCTCTCTCTCTCTCTCTCTCTCTCTCTCTCTCTGACTCTCCCTTCTGCTCTTCCCCAGAAAAGATAGACATGGTGCCCATTGACCTTCATGCTGTGTTCTTGGGGATCCACAAGGGGAAGCTGTGCCTGTCCTGTGTCAAGTCTGGTGATGATATCAGTCTCCAGTTGGAGGTAAGGGTGTGTTTCAGACAGCAAATCACTCTAAAACCCAGTGTTTTCAAATAAACACTGTATGTTCTCCTAATCCTGTGGGTGGGCTGGGATCAGCTGGATAGTTCTACCACATGGGGAGGAGCATGCTGGGTTACTCCTGCCACTGCATTCCAGTAGCATTCATGCTGCTGGTTCTGGATGTCCTAAAATGGTTTCTCATCCTCCAGCCTCCCCTTTATGTGGTCACTCAGCATTCAGTAGTTAGCTCAAGCTTCCTTACAGCCAGCATTATGGGTAAATTTTATGAAGGATCATTCCTAAGGGACATGTCTCCATGGGGAAGTGCTTAGCAAACTTCTGATCCTATTTGGCCAAAGCCTTTCCTGTGACTAAGTCTGTACTAGGTATGGGAGGGAACTGCACAGGGGCATACTTTCAGGAGGTAGAGGTCATTGGAAAACATCACTGTGACCATCTGTCACAGGACTTGAGCCACCATGAACTACAAACCACTTGGGCCCTCTTCTAGAAAGACCAACTCCTGGGAGCTTTCTTTTCTAGTCCTTATCCACCTAGCTTGGCAAGGTGGCCTCCTATCCAGACCTTTGTTCTTCCCTGATTCTTGCAATAGCAGTGGGTTGTCCAGTCCTGAGAAAAAATGGCTTTGTCTCAAGGGCACATGGGGCAAGACTGTCACCCAGATGTGAGTAGCCATAACCATGTAGCTGTCATTTCCGTCTCCCAGTAGACATGGATACCCTTCTGGAGAGAGAGTACCTGTTCTGTACAGATGGATGGCCAGGATGTTGCATGTAACATAATGAATGAGCTTCCAGACTCTCAATTACCCTTCTCCACCATCCCCTGTCCTCAGAGGCTCAGACTCTGACAATACCAGCCTCATGGGCCTTGGCTTCTGATGGGGCCAGGTATTTACCAGACTTACTGGCCCATGACCAATGTGGCCAGACTGCCAAAGTCAAGGTTCAACAATGGGACAACGCTTTGTACCACTGTGGTCCTGGGGAACCTGGGATCCATGTTTCCAGCCAGCTCTCCAGGCCACCATTTGTTCAGCACTTTTGGCCAGTCAGAGGGCCACAGCATGGTGAAGGGCAAGAGGTGAGCAGTACAGGACTTCCCAGGGTCATGCTCACCTGTCCGTCTCTTGCCTTCCAGGCAGTTAACATCACTGAGCTGAGCAAGAACAAGGAGCAGAACAAGCGCTTCACCTTCATCCGCTCAGACAGTGGCCCCATCACCAGTTTCCAGTCAGCTGCCTGCCCGGGCTGGTTTCTCTGTACTGTGGTGGAAGCTGACCAGCCTGTCCGCTTTACCAACAACCTGGAAGACTCTGACATGGTCACCAAGTTCTACTTCCAAGAGGACCAGTAGTACTGCCCAGACCTGCCCTTCCCTACCCCCTGGCCATCATTGGCCTCTCCACCTCTGCTCATGTGGTTCCTGGCTGTCACAGAGATTCAAGGAGTAACTTTTGCAGGTAGACTCTGGAAGGAGTCCTGAAAACCCTGCTGACAGGACTCTGCCTCCAGTCTCTCACTGACAGCCTCCATGCTGCCTCCAGAATGGTCTTTCAAAGTGCAAACAGCCCCACTCAAACCTCTTCCATGTCGCCTCTGCCCTGTGAGTGAAATCTGGACCACTACCCAGCCTGAGTTACTCCTGCCACTGCATCCCACAGTGCACCTGCTGGTTTTAGGTGTCTGTTCCTCTCTTCCCATCTCCCCCTCCCCCCTTGCCCCACTGCCCATTGCCCACATCCATCGAGTCACTAGCTGACCCCCACTGAGAGACTTCCATACCCTATATTACCAGCCAGTGCTGGTCCATGGGGAGGTTTGTTATTGTTTATTGTTTTGTAGGTGCTGGGGATTGAACCCAGGGCCTCAGGCATGCTAAGCATGCATATACTCTACTACTGAGCTGCACCTCCAGCTCATGGAGACATTTTTAAGGATCTATAGAAATACAAATTAAGGAGTTTGTGATTATTTTAAAACCAGCTTTATTCAATGTGAAAGAGAATCCTTCATTTGGAGGTTTTGTTCTTTCTGAGAGGGCCTGGAAGATTAGAATGTTCTTCCTCTGTGAAATGGTGGCAGAAATGGGAAAGGAGGTGATAGTTTTTTCTCTTTTGGTAACACCCTAAACTGTAAAAATTACAAGTTAGTGGACTACCTTGGCGCCCCCCCTCCCTTGTGTATTTTTACTTTTTGAAACGTTCCCATAATTGGGCCTCTCTGCTGGGGCCCCAAACACCATCTCCACTCCAGATCTTCTGCAGCTGCCTACAGTAAATTCCCTCTTGTGGGAAGTGCCCCAACTCTGTAGTGTGGAAATGTGGCTCCCAGGGATCCTTCCCTTGCAGCCAAGGAGGGAAGGACCCACGAATTGCTCCTTGGCCATTTGGCCCCTTTGACAGTGAGATTTCCAAGAAAGAGTGCTGCACATCTGTCTGTCTCCCACCAGACTGGGAGCTCCCAAGATCAGAAAGCCTGACTGCATGTGTCTTGGGTCCCTGTGAGATGGAACAACTGGCTAGCCCTTAATAGGTACTCAGTGAATGACTGTTATATGTTGGATGGAAAATTTCTTACTCCCTGTGACTTTAGCTTTGTTTTACAGTAAAATCTTGAAAATGCCTACTTTTTTGGCTGTGTGCTTGGCTGTGATAGGCCCTGTGATAGGGAAAGGGGGGCCAGAGGTTCTTTTCATTCTAGGGGCCTCTGAAAGCCCATTTCCTTCTTGGTCCTAACCCTCCCTGGATAACTTTAGAGCAAATGTCCCTGCCTATAAGGGGTAAGACAGCATTGTTCACAAAAAGCCCCAGCTGGGAACAACCCAATCACCCATCACGGAAGGAATGAGCACATAATTCTGAGCTGCATATAATGTGATGTTCCATGACCAAGAAAACTAATGAACTGCAGCCAGCTGTGCCCAACACAACAGGTGAATCTTACAACATGCTGAGTCATAAGAGTCACCAAAGCTCAGGCACTTCACACAATCTAAGTTAAGCAGCAGGTTATAGACCAGTTATAGGCAAGGAAGCAACACATGCACTTGGCAGTTCTGGAGTTCTCCAGTCCCTGCCTGGTTCTCCTGTTGGGTTTGTTAAGCATGGATGAGCCAGTTAACATACTGGAGACCCAGTTTTCTCATCTCTAAAATGCAGATGATGGTTAATGTAGGGGACTGAGTTACCTCCTGTAATCTTGGCAATAGCTCTCTGCAGTTAAGTAATAGTATTACTACTATTGCTAGTCCTAGAAGAATCAGTCACAAAGGAATTTGTTTAAATCTTCATTGCTCCAAGTGTAATCTGTGGATTAGCAACCTAGCATGGCTCATAAGTTAGAATTCGAACTCCCAGGCAGCATACCAGACTCCTGGGTTTAGGATCATCTTCTTAACCTGACCTCATGGGTTCACAGAGATAAAGTTTGAGAAGTGCTGCTTTAAAATATGGCTCTTGCAGTGCATAAGCTCTGGTATCTTTATCAAAGTGTCTCTCAAAATCATAAACCCAATTCACATCCCTACACTCATTGACCATACCTAAAACTACCCCTCACTTCCTTATTAGACTTCAAAATGTGCTGTAAGGTATTCCAAAGGGAAATCTTTGGGCCATCATTGTCCTACTAAAATATCCCAACACACACAGGGATTTCCATCTGTTTCTTTTTTCTGTGTATCCCAAAAACCCAGATCAGTGCTTGGCATATACTAGGTATGCAATGGCTACTTGATGAACCATGAGGACACTAATATACCAATAGGAATTAATGGATTCAGTATATTAGCCAGCAAGACTGGGAACAGAAACCAGGGAATATTTGACAGGTCAATAAGAAAGGAAATGCCCAGGGATTTGGAGGTTGGGCAAGAAAAAAAAAAGATATGACCACCAGGTGACAGTAGAATTCAATAGCTCTATGGGGCAATGCTCTGAGAGGTCTGCATTGCTGTCCCTCAGGGCAGGAGTCTGTGCAGAGGATAGGGCAGAGAGGTGGGAACTTACTCAGAAGGGGAGGAGGGCAAGGCAGTTCCCAGGGGAGAGGGCCATGGAGAGGATCTTCACATGTCTTGGTGATGTCACTCAGCAACAAGGTTCAGAATGGGCCTTATCCTTGGCTAGCAGATACCAGATAGTTTCATGGGATATGCATATTGGGTACAGTTTCATGGGGCTCTAAATGGCCAAAGTTCTGATGATTGAGGCTATATTTAGAATAACTGGATGTGCAAACTTTGGAGTTTGGCATTGGTTGGAATTTGTAGCTAATGAGTCTAGTCTCAGCCTGCAGAGAACAAATCAGCACCAATATACAGAGGCTGCCTATAGATCATTTATATGACACAAGGCATGGGATGTGGCTCAGGAAAGCCAGGCCCAGGCAACAGGTTCAATAGGCATTACAAGGGGAGCTGGGAGGCAGGGGGATCCAGGTGGGAGCACGGAGAGGGAACCTGGATGAACAGCTTTGAGGAATATGGCCTCTTCTTTTCCCTCTAGATCCGACCAACTATAACACCACAGAATCACAGAATCACTAGTTCACAAATTCAAAATGGAATCCAAGGCTGTCTGGTTTCCACAGTCTAGTCAGTTTTGTTGCTAACTAGCTGGGTGGCTTTGATCAAGCAGCCTTCCCTTCCAGGCTTCAATTTCTTCCCTCATAAAGACAGGATTGGACTAGGTCTTTGTTCTCAGCTGGTTCCCCTGTAGAACCTCTTCAAAATGATGCCAATTCTGAACCTCATCTTCTCCACAAAGAGTCTGACTCACTTGGTCTGTGGGTGGCCTGAGGTGGGACAAGGACTCAGCATGCCAGGGCTGAGACCCTCTGGGGCCCAAAGGTTGAGACCTCCCAGCTGTTCCTGCCTGGCAACATCTGTTAATGCAAAGAAAGGAGATGGCCTTTCACTTTAGTAGTGGGCTCGTTACTAGGTCTGCACCCCATTTCCACTACATGTTTGCCTGGGTTGAAGAGAGAAGAGTTTCTACTTTCTCACTCACACGGCTGGCTAATGCTGCGAGCTTTCTCTTTTCTTTCTTCCTTTCTTTTTCTTTATTTCTTTCTTTCTTTCTTTCTCGCTTGCTTGCTCTCTTTCTGTGTAAACTGTGCTACACTACTGGGGTATGATATTCACAAATCTTGGGGAAGCCAAATAATTCTGTTTTCCCTTTGTGTAGCCATGAAATCTCTAAGCCACTGCAGCAAATTTCAGCATATTTGATATTAAACCCAGCTCTCTCACAGAAGTCTGGGGAGCCAGTCAAATAGATTTGGGGGTTCTAACCTTCAAACTCAAGAAAGTTTCAATAGAAGAATTCCAAACTTTTTGAAGGAAGTTGTACCTCAAGCACAAGGGCAAGAAAAGAAGTTCCAGAAATGCCCACCGGAGGGCAGGCTTCCATAGGCGTCTGATGGTCTGCTCCGGAAAGAACCTTAGGGAGACGGAAACGGAAATTGCTTCAGTTCCTGCTCTATCTGGTGAAGGTCTAATTTTTCAGACTTTTTAAGAAAGAAAACGCTGGGTTTTCACTCTATGGAAAGTTTTTTCCTCATTCCCATCCAGCTAATTCTGAATAGTTAATTCATAAAGTGCATGAACTTCATATTGTATTCAAGTATGTACAATAAATGTCTATTCTCCAAAGGGTGAGACTAAGAAGTTCCAAGGGTCTTCTGCACCTGCTTTATAGTCTACTCTCTGTGATCCTGTTTCTTTCCAAGGACCTTTTACGTGAATGGTTGACCAATGTGGGAAATAATCCTACCTTGCCACCCCCAGGACTTATGACCACTGTGCCACAACTCAACACAGTGACCCCTGGGCATGCCTATGAGCAAGATGTGTACATTTCAATCTTGGTAGATTATTGGCAGCACTCACAAAAGATAGGCAAAAAAAATTTCCTAGACATGCATCAGTGAAGAATAGATCTGTCCCAGGGCAACTATGCTCAAATTCTTTCCTCGGGAACAGTTGACAAGATTAAGAACTGAGGAATAATATTAGTGCCTGTGATCTCAAGCCACCCCACTTTGGTACAGCACCTCCACTTCAAGGGGCTGTCTGGCAAGAGACAGGCACATCTGTGCCCTAGAGCCAAGGCACATCTTCCTTGGCCATGGTGATGTCACACTGGTAACTTGTCCTTCAATCTTTGGCAGCATTTCTTATGTTATGGAAGTTTCCTTTCCTTCTAACACAGGCCTGTGGCTGGAACATGGGATTTAGGGAGAAATAGGCTTGGGCTGGATTCTCCTGGGCCTGCTAGATAATGGTAAGGACTATAGTCTCTTCTGAGCCATGAGTGGGCCTTGGGAACTTTGCAGTATACTCCTTCACTCCCCTAGGCCACACTGTGAGTGCCTATCTCATCGTGTGCAACACCTAATTCCTACAAATTCTCTTCAAGTCCAAGATTCTTGGGCAACTGTTTCCTTGAAGATATTAAGGACCATCCATGCCAACTGAATAACCCACTCTCTGCTAACTCCATGAGGGCCAGTGGCCCAGACCCCTGACACGCATGGCACTGATGAAGTCTTTCCAGGTGAACATGTTTGCACCTTCTCCTGAGAACCTTCAGGTAGGGACTGAGGGTTTTACTTTTTGCAAGTTCCATAGCACAGGGTCAATGATCTGAAACTAAAACATACTGGAATCATATTCTGATTGTATCAGTTTCACATGCACTTCTCTTCACATGCATTTACTCTTCTCTTTTCTGAGAAAAGTGACTTACCTGACTTACTTCCTTTTGTGCATCGAGTTCTCTGCACACATGGTACCTTATCAGGGAAGTGTTTTTGACAAGCATAGTAAAAATAGCATTCTATTCCTAAAAACCAGCTGAACCTCCTTACTCACTGTCTCTGTACCTGCTTTTATTTTTCTTCCAAAAAACTATTAATTTTTAACATATTTATTTGCTTATATATTTTCCTACTACATTTTAAGCCCCATTAGGGAAGGATATTTTCCCCACATCGGTGCCTGTTATTAATTCAACAATCTTCATGGATTGCCTTCTATCCATCAGTTCCAGTGCTGAGGACAATCCATAGCATTCTCCCCACAGCTCTCAGTCACAACTGAAAACCAGCCCGAGGGGGCAAGCGGCACTAGCAGGATTTTTACATTTTATAGGATTTCTAGTTGTTATCTTTTGTGTGTATGTTTTGGGTAAGTTGGGAAAATAATAAATCCTTGTCTTGGGGTAGAATATGTGGACCCTCAGTCATGAATTGAGTGTCTCTCTGTCCACCCAATGTGCAAAGAAAGCCAGTAAGCCTCCAGTCCTCCTCTGTGAGAGCCACACAAATCTCATAGAGAGGGGAGGGGTGAAGTGGAATAAAGTGAGAAGAATGGAAAAGGCAGGAAACAGGGAACAAAGGATCACAGTGCAGACAGCATGAGCCATAGCCAAAATTGACTGTGAGGTGTACGGTCCTACGCACTCACCACCCTGGCCACCCCACAGGACAAAACCCCATGTCCTGCCTTAGTGAGTGTCCTCTGCCCCTCTCTTTCCCCAGGGACCAACTCTCTGTAGCTACCAGCCTCCAACATCCATATTTCTGTTTCTATATCCTGAAGCAGTTCACATCTCTCAACCTCACCA